AAAATTGCGGAATTTAGGAATTTTAGAATTTTGGAATTTTGGAATTTTGGAATTTTGAGATTTCTAAGTTTGAGAATTTGGGTACTTGGTAATTTTGAGAAATCGATACTTCTATGTTTGTGGTTTTTCTTAAAATTTGAAGACATAGAAATTTGATAAATTAGAAATTTGAAAGTATAGACATTTGACGACCTAAAATAGTTGAAATATGGAAATTTATTCCTGAATTCCTGAATACCTAAATTCCTCAATTTCCAAAATGTTTAAATTCCTAAATTCCTGCGTTCTTGAACTATTAAATTCTTGAATTCTTGAATTTCTGAATTGCTAAATTCTTGAATTTCTGAATTGCTAAATTCTTGAATTCCTGAATTCTTGAATTCTTGAATTCCTAAATTTTTAAATTTCTGAATTTCTGAATTCCTGAATTCCTGAATTCCTGAATTCCTGAATTCCTGAATTCTCGAATTGCTAAAATCTTGAATTCCTCATTCTTTATATTTCTAAATTCCTAATTTCCTGAATTCCTAAATACTCGCGCTCTGAATTCCTAAATCTTTGAATTCCTGAACTTCTGGATTTCTAAATTCCTATTTGTATCCTCTTAACATCTACTCCAAAGATTTCCTACAACATAACCATATACCTTTACAAAAAATTCCTAAATCAAAGCAACAATTTCACAAAGTCTATGACTGAGATATTTTTCACACTCGCTGTGTATGGAACATCCTATATCACTTAGAACGCACCAGCTGGCAAATACTAACTGGAATTTTTTTTTCACCACAACTTTTCACTTGACTCGCTCGATCGCTGTATAATACAGGATTCCCAACGTTCCAGCGGGTGTAGCGTTCTTCCCAAGACTTTTTATCGGCCGGGTTCCATGCGGGGATCAGGAACGCGGTTAGAATCGCGTATGTATACAGGGCTGTTGTCGAGTATAGGATTTTTACGAAACAACCGGTTCTGTTAATGGAAAAATATTCGAGGATTTCACGGAACATCGGTTCGCATGCGGTTTCCTTGCAAATCCTTCGATTCACGAGCGAACCTTCGGCCTTTTTGTTCGCTTTCGAGGATTTCGTCCCGATTTTAGTTACCCCTAAATCGACATTCTTTCCCCTCGGTCGAGCAGTGACCAATCCACGCGAAAATAGAGCTTGTTTCTGGCTATTTGCGTAAATATACGTTTGTTATTGTTCGGTTAAACCGTGTGTAACTTTCGGGTGACGCAGGAAATTACTGGCTCGTCCGTTTCGCTATGGCGAACTTGAACGGAAAATCGCCCATTGTGTACTCGACGGAAAATCGAGACAGTGATTCGGGTCAGATTTTATAGGGTGGGTTTCGAATTTTTAATATTTTATATAATTGTTTTTAATTCATTTCTTGGTTTAGAAAATTGTGAGACTTCTTTTGTATTTTAAATGTGTGAAGTTTAATGTTTTGAGTAAGATTTAATAGGTACTTGTTATTTTGAACTATTTATGGTTAAATATTGACTTTTTTAAATTCTTAAGTGTGCAAATATATACTTCTAAATTTTTAAATTATAGTATCTACATTTTTAAAGTTGCAAATTTTCAAATCTCAAATCCTATGTTTCTAAATCTTCAAATTGTTAATTTGTTAAATTGGAAAAATGGTAAAATGGTAAAATTGGAAAATTGTGAAATTGGAAAATTGTGAAATTGTAAAATTGTGAAATTGTGAAATTGTGAAATTGTCAAATTGTCAAATTGTCAAATTGTCAAATTGTCAAATTGTCAAATTGTAAAATTGTAAAATTGTAAAATTGTGAAATTGTAAAATTGTGAAATTGTCAGATTGTGAAATTATGAAATTGTAAAGTTGTCAAATTGTGAAATTGTGAAATTGCAAAATTATAAAATTATAGAATTATAGAATTATAAAATTATTAAATTATAAAATGGTAAAATTATCAAATTATCATATTATCGAATTATCGAATTATCAAATTATCAAATTATCAAATTATCAAATTATCAAATTATCAAATTATCAAATTATCAAATTATCAAATTATCAAATTAATTATCAAATTGTCAAATTATCAAATTATCAAATTATCAAATTGTCAAATTATCAAATTATCAAATTATCAAATTGTCAAATTATCAAATTATCAAATTATCAAATTGTCAAATTATCAAATTATCAAATTATCAAATTATCAAATTATCAAATTATCAAATTATCAAATCTTCAAATTCTCAAATTTTTAAATCCTCAAACACCCAAACTTCTCTATACATATAAAAGTATTATTACTCTTTTCATATCTTTGTCTAACAAAACTACATTTAATTATAACAATTATTATATTTCATACATATCAACATAGTTATGTAAATCCTCCTTTTCATACGCACTAAATACACTTGTATAAATAATACATTTTGTATTTTCAACCTTAATACCACTTCACTCAGCAAGTTTATTTTTCATTCATTCTCTCCCCTTCGTCGGTTCTTGTCTTTAATTATTATCTTTGCATATGCACCATGTACGGCTGACCATAATCGCCCTTAGTACTCGTTGACCACTTAATGGCTGGTGATAATAGTTACCCTTAGCAACGAAAGGGTTAAACGACGTCATTTCTATTCGTCCTGCAACCCACATCAAATCAAGGAATTGTTGGGAAATCTACCAACCACGGTAAACCCTTCTCCGCCATTGCTCGAGATTTCGTTCGATATTTTCACGTGGAGATAAACTTCGTATTGGAAATGGTCCAGAAGATGGCGGATAAAAGATTGCATCTGAATTGTGTCTGAATAGTCGATGCTCTTAGAGCGAACAATCGCATACTGCCGATATTTATTGACTGAAGCATTAGAAATTAGCATTAATCTTCTTCAGAGCTCAAAGAGGAATACAAGAGGCGACAAGCAAATTTTTAGAGAGAGAGAGAAAATATAACCAATTTAAATGCTGAAGCGAAGTGAGTCGGGTGAAGTACGACTTCGACGATATTTCGTCTGCGCATGCGCGTAATGTTTAAAGATGGCGGTCGGAAAATGGCTTACATCTGCATTCTTCACCAGTAATTTCTTTGTAATAAATATTCTGTCATTTCTCTGTAACACATTCTTGTTCTTGTAATACATAGTTCATTTCTTTGTAACTTATTTTTAATAATCATTTCTGTAATATATTAAAATATATTGTGTAGAGTAATCATTTTAGTATGTTTTTCCTTCAACTTTTCAATATCATAAAATTGATGTAACTACTTCGAAAATCAATATTACTAACATAGAGAAAATTGACGAGAAATAGACTTGTAATTATGGAAGGTTGACATGAGATTGGCTTGATTTTAATTTCCCGCTCGTTTGATCAATAAATTTAAAGGGACAGTATTTTCCATCAGACATCAAAGGTCCCGAGTGTTGTTTTTTGTTGTATCCCTACTTTTTGGCTTTGTATAATATTCAGTAGTCTGATGAAAAAAATGAACTGAATCGCAGAGTGCAATAAATTTGCTCGAAAGAAGGTGAATTATGGAACACTTGCAAAACGAGTGGGCAAAACATAGCTCGATATATGAAGTGAATAAATTTGTGAAATATGTGGATTTTTGTAGATGGTAGAACTGCGGACAAGTTTTAATTTTGCATGAAAAATGAGGTGAAATTGTAATGCAATGAGAATGTAATTTAATGAGCATTGGGTTATGAAGAGGATTATGAACTTTCATAATCCTATATAAATAGTTATATTGCCATATATGGAATTGTAAAAGAGGACTTTATTAGAATTTGTAATTTAGATAGAGTTGCTTTAATGCAACGTTTTGGAGGCTGAGAAGTTGTGAATTAATCTCATCGAATAATATATGTAATTTTGAACGGATCTATCAGCAAACAATATCAAAATTTTGGCAGTAAAAAATAAAAACAAGATACGAATTCTTTTCATACTCTAAACTTAGCATAAATAATAAAATAATAAGTACTATTTATTCATAATATGTAATACTTAAAAATTATGTATATGTATCAAATTATTTTACGTATATTCAGAGACTTTTCACGTTTGACCATCGCTCTCTTGTTTAAAGGGTTTAAACACAACTTTAAAGAGTATTTTACAAAATCTAATTCCTTTAACAAACATGGCTACAGAAGCTGCAAATCCAGTAAACGAACTAACAATAAAACGGATGCAACACGGTTAAATCAGATTCCTCTAAATACATTTCACTCGCTACTTTTGCTTTAAATCCTCTCTCTAGACATTCTGCCGCTAAAAGCTTTCGCTCTAAATCTACATCCGTCCTTAAGAATTCTCACTTCCGTACACATTCAGATGCATGCACACTCGGGTACATATGTACATTCACAATTTCTCGCTTTCTAAACGCATAAACTTCAATTTTTCTTTTACGAAAAAATGATACAAATTTATTAGTATTAAATACTAATATATTTTTAAATAAATGCAAATATTGATATAATATTTTAATTGATATGTTTATTATGTATTATATATGTATTAAATGTTAAGTATGTAATGAATACGTATTTTAAGCTTCAATTTTTTAGCAACTTGGAAATTTAGAAAATTTTGTAAATATAGGAAGTTTATGAAGTTTATGAAGTTTAAGAAATTTAGGAAATTCTGGAAATTTGAGGAAATTTGGCAAATTTAGGAAATTTGGGAAATTTAGGAAATTTAGGAAATTTAGGAAATTTAGGAAATTTAGGAAATTTAAGAAATTTAGGAAATTTAAGAGATTTAAAAAATTTAAGAGATTTAAGATATTTAAGAAATTTAAAAAATTTAAGAAATTCAACTCTATAACAATAAATAGTTCCCTATATCTGACGCTTTTATCCAATAAATCATAGTACAAGAGGTTAAAAATAATAATTACACCTCATTACAGTACCTCTGCGGAATCTATTCATAATACTTTTACCAATGTGTGATCTGCACCCTGATGGTTTGTAATCAAATTTCAGAACCGTCCGTCCAAATAGTGGACGCCCTGGGTGAACCACTGAGGGACAAATACTACGAAGCAGACAGCACTATCGAGTTATTGTGTGTGGTGCGTGACATAGCCATGCAAGTGCAGTACAGCGTCGTCCAGTGGCTTCATGGCAACAGAGTTCTGAACTATGACACGACGAGGGGCGGTATCAGGTGACTCAAACATTTAAACCCAAACATTTCGACCAAATTCGACCTTCAACATCCGCATACTTGTCAAACCTCAAATTCCTCCACTTTCCATTATATCGTTGACGCATTCCGTTGATGTTTGTTCACTTCACATACTTTTATTGATACGCTGCGTAAATATACCAAATTGGACCTTCGATATTCACATACTTATCAAACCTCAAATTCCTCCACTTTCGATTACATTGTGGACGCATTCCGTTGATGTTTGTTCACATAACATACTTTTATTGATACGTTGCGCAAATATACTAAATTGGACCTTCGACATTCACATACTTGCCAAACCTCAAATTCCTCCACTTTCAATTATATCATTGACGCATTCCGTTAATATTTGTTCACATAACATATTTTTATTTATACGTTGTGTAAAGGTACCCCTTGTATTTATTAATTTTGGATATTTAAAGATTATAAGTCACTCATGTGTCTTTGGTTAGCAAGATCATCCTGCAGCGTTTTATAAAGAATAAACTTGTGAAGGAAGTGATGATGATGATGATGATGATTAGTGTTATGGGCATCGACTGCCATGGTCATTAGCCCAGTGAAGGAAGTCATATATAAATTTATGTCAGATGTCAATTATCAGCTAAGTACAAATAGTGCTTCCATATGTGAACTAATCTCTTGAAGAAGAAGTTAGTCACACACAAATTTATATGAGGCATCAATCATCAGCTGAGTGCAGACTATATTGCAGTATGTCGACTAATCTCTTCAAGATGAAGTTAGTTACACAGAAATTTCTATCACATGTCCATAATCAGCTGAGTGCAAACTAAATTGCAGTATGTGAAACTTGTTCAAATGTGGACTAATATTTTCAACAAAAAGCTAGTCACACATCAATTTATATTAGACGTTAATCATTAGCTGAGTATAAACAATGTTTCAATAAGTGGATTAATCTCTTGAAGAAGAAGTTAGTCACACACAAATTTATATGAGGTATCAATCATCAGCTGAGTGCAGACTATATTGCAGTATGTGGACTAATCTCTTCAAGATGAAGTTAGTTACACAGAAATTTATATCACATGTCCATAATCAGCTGAGTGCAAACTAAATTGCAGTATGTGAAACTTGTTCAAATGTGGACTAATATTTTTAACAAAAAGCTAGTCACATATAAATTTATATTAGCTGTCAATCATCAGCTGCATACAAACAGTATTTCAGTACGTGGAACTTTCAATGTGGTCCAATCTGTCCATATCATATTTAAATGTATATCAGTTGTCAATCAAACACCAGATAACAGTATTTCCACATCGATTTCCCACATGGACCTCATCCCAGGAATTTCGAAATTGATGCTGGTCATTCTTCCAAATATAGCACAAGCCCCGAAGTAAGCAAACAAAAGGGAAGGTTATGTCTGCATACTCTCTGTCTGATTGCGGCCTAAAGCCAGTCTTTGCGTCACTTGCTATTCTCCGGATGCGACTGATCGTCCGGGTCTTCGTGGCCCGCCATAAATCATGCACGATATATCCCTACTGAGCAAGGACCCGACGATCCTTCGAGCTGTGGCGGTGCTTGTATCAACGGAAACGGGATCGTGTCACGCTCGTTACGCCGGAGTTATAATCCAGTGTCAACAATTCTGGTTGCCTTTCCACCCCCGGCTATCTGTACGTTGATCCCTAGTCTGGTGTGTAAACTTTGACAGCCTTGAAAATACGCCTGATCACCGAGACGTTGTGGAACAGGGAACTCGATGGCGAAGGTGGGTTCCAGACTCGCGAAACCTTTGTCGATGGCTTCGAATAAACACCGCTGGTAAAGTTAGGCCGGTACAAACGTGGTGGTTTCCGGGAAATGGAATTAATTGGCGCAATGTGTACACAGGGTACAATACCGTTTTGTGGAAAAAAGAAGTGTTTGTACGGCTTCACGCAGCGGAGCCTTTTATTGAACGGAATTGGACTGGTGTTTTAGGGATACGGAGGGGAGAAATAAGGAAAAAATGGAGGACAGTTTGTAGTGGTTATAAATTTTGTATAGCTTGTAGAAAAGATGTAGGTGGAGTAAATTTTAGTTGAGTATGGAGTTTAGAAATTTTGGGATTTGAAGTTTGGGAATTTAGAAATGTAATAATTTGGGAGATGGAAATTTGGAGAGATGGAAGTTTTAGGGTTTTTAATTTGGGGCACTAGGAGGTTGGAATTTGTGGATTTAGGGGATAACAAAATTTCAAAGTTGAAAATTGAAGAGTTGGAATTTGATAATTTGAAATAATGGAAATTTCAGAATTCCAAATTTGAAAAATTGGAGGATTGTGATTTGGAAATTTAGAGGAATGGAAACTTTGGAATTTTGAATTTGTAAAGGGTTGTAATTTGGAAATTTGAAAATTTAAGTTTCTGAAAATCTAAAAATCTAAAAATTAAAAAATTTAAAACTCCAAAAATCTAAAAATCTAAAACTCCAAAAACCTAAAACTCAAAAAATCTAAAAATCTAAAAATCTAAAAATCTGAAAATCTAAAAATCTAGAAACCTAAAAATCTAAATTCTAAGAATCTAAAAATTTCAAACTTAAAAACTTAAGATCTTATTGACATAAAAATTTAAAAATTCAAAAAATTATAATAATTTCTTAACAAATTTCCCTTTCAAAGATATAATATTTCGATAATAAGGATGCAGTGGAAAAGGAGCAGCATCTTCCGTGTACAGTATGCAAGTTATCAATCTTAATTCGTCAGCTGACTGGACTTAATCTGACATAATCTTCGTGTAGCGGTAAACGTATTACTTACGTGAACACATTAATTAATTTCACGTTCGTTCTTTTGGTCGACGGTGGAACGTGATCCATCAATCCGTCATACAGTAAGGTATACAAGGCTGAAACCAAAGCTTGGAAAGTCATGTTGTATTATCTAACCATGCTTTGTCCTATGGTTTATTGCGTTATCATATGTCGTGTGCATACATCCATGCAGCTTTGGTCATTTAACAGAATCGATTAAAATTTCGAATAATAAAATATTTTAAAAAATGTGCATGAATAGAGACATTTTATATATGCATTTTAATATTTGTTTGGAGTATATTTCTATTTTCAGTTCTTTAGGGTAAGAAGTGAACAAAATTTCCTCTAATTCTATAGAAAATTTAGAAAATTTGAAAAATTGGGAAAATTTGGAAGATCTGGAAAATTTTTGTAAATTTGAGAAATTGGGAAAATCTGGAAAATTTAGAAAACTTGAGAAATTTAGAAAATTTAAGAAACTTGAGAAACTTGGAAAATTCGGAAAAATCTGGCAAATTTGAGATATCTGTAAATTTGAAATTTTAATAATTAATAAATTTTTAGTTATAATTTTGAAAATTTAGCAATTTGAGAATTTAAGGATTTAAGAACTTAAAAAATTATGAATATCAAAGTATAAAATTTTGAGAATATAAGAACCATGAAATTTATAAATTTGCGAAAGAAATATTAGATATTGGTAAAATTAAAAATATACCTATATGAGAATATAAAAATTAACAAACCTCGAAATTGAAATCCTAAATATTACTACCTGAACTCTCCACAAAAACTACGCAAAATCGCACGAAATATAAAAACCAATATCACCCAGAAACTTTCGTTCGCAACTGTACCCATTCTTCTAACGCACAATTACTGTATAGTAGATGATTTCATTCTCCTCGAGTCTAACAAATAACACCGTGCTCCTTGTTATCGCTCCATTTCACGTTAAATGCAAGACGAAGGGTCGGTGTTTAATTGAAAAACTTTCCACCGCTGTAATTTGTCCGATATCTCTGGCAAAAGACGATGGCTGGTTGATCCACGGTGTTAAGCAACCTCCTAGCAACCGCTGGTTTCTTTCAGTTCCGCCTTAATGCACCAGCTGCTTTTCTATGTATTGGTTCTTATTTGTCTTCGTTCGAGCGTCTCCTCTTTCCTCTTTTCTAATTCCACGAAAAGAGAAATGCGTTTTTCGTTTCAATTGGATTAACACTCCGATGGAGGGTTGTAAATTTGTCCACTGCATGGCTCTGTTATTTCAATCACGCGCAAAATGGCCGCTGCGTGCAGCTCGTCGAGTGTATAATAAACGCGATTGAATCATCGTACTCGTATACGAATGATTTAATCGTTCTGCTATTATTTTAACCTGCGATTTTATCGTGTTTTAACGATTTCATTTCCGTTGAAATACTTGCCATAAACTTATATTGGATCCACTACTGAAGATCAATTTAACTTATTTAATTTCTTATTTTTCAATTTTGCGCGATTCATGGTAATGTGAATAATAAACATTTTTTGGTAAATTATTTTTTATTTTCGAAACTTTTATGTGTCCCAATTGAATTTATATTTACTGTAGTATTTTTTTATTTATTATTTTTCGTTCTGATTTTTATATACCTTTTTGCATATTCATGTAATATTTGTATTAAAATTTTATTTATGCAAATTATTTTGTAACTTCTGCTGTAAATAAGTTGGGAATGTTCATTGCTACACGAAATAAAGATAATATAATTTTCTTTGCGAAATTATAAACTAATTACAATTTAAATAATAAGTGAACGGCTAACTTTATATAAGTACTTATTCGTTAATTTTATTCAAACAATTGTTCCTTACTAAATAACACTATTTTCCTTATAATAACACAACTTTAACTCTCTGTTTCAAAGAACTAAAAAGTCGTTACCAACAAAATAATTACAAAAGTATAAATCTCGTACTAGTAAAAATAAATAAAGATACTTACAAGCGTCATCTGTAAGCATTATTTATTATTTGACCGTACGAGGTACTCTAAGTCCCCTCCGTAGCAGTTAAGAATGAGACACATTCCGCCACAGAAAAGAAAATGGCGAAGAAACTAACTTTCCTTCAGATTTAATCCCAGCAATTAATAACAATAAGGAAGCGAAACGAAGGATATTATCCTGAAGCAAAAAACTCCGTTCCGTTTTTTTCCCTGGCCGTCACAGAACGTAACTGGAAAAAGTTGTTCGTAATCCCCATTACTTTTTCAAGCCTGCGAGCTCAAAATGGTTGACGCGTAGGAACGAAATGAGGGAGAGGGTGAAAGAGAAAGAGGTATAACATCCATTTCGTCTCGTCTGTGATTCAGAAAAGCGACGTATATTAAGCGTGCTACGAAAAGAGAAGCTGGAGAGAACGGAAGGAAATAAAAATCTGCAGGATGATCTCTAAAAAAATTGCCCTAGCCGTTTGTTCGACGTGCGCTTCCGTTCCGTGTTCCTTCGTGTCGGAAAAGTTGGGAAATTGAAATTTCAACACCCTGTACGTGTGTTCCAGCGTGAAAACGGACCTAATGGAAGAGGGGGCCAATTCGACTCTCAGCATAGCGAGGGTGGGACCAGCTGACAGCGGAAACTACACGTGCCATCTCACTACCATGCCCGATCAACCTGCCACTGTTCACGTGCATGTGCTGAACGGTGAGAATTATTACTTTTTTAACTTATCTACTATAAATAATACGGTATAATAATATAATATAGTAATATACATTAGAATATACAGTATAAGCGAAAATGATAATAATATGAGTGAAAAAGTTCTACACAGGGGGGGAAGAGACGCCATGTTCGTCAGCCGAGCAGTGTCACGTGACTCGACTTCGGGTACATTCGTGAGACGAACTTATGCAAATATGTAACTTTCTTATTTTTTACTCTTTTGTTACGAAATTTTTTACAATAGATTCTTGGTATTTTTAAGATTAAAACAAGACCAAACATGATATAATTCGAACGATATTTACTGATTTAATTGAAGATGATAAGTGTTGAGCGAAGGGAATAGCGATAGAAAGAGATGTTAGGCAAAGATTAAAATTTTTTTGCATCGTTCACAATTTCAATGCGTTACTTTCTTAGTTTCTTCGTTTCTTTTCAGTCCTTTTTTTTGACATAACTTTTCCCAAGGTATTTGTCCCATGTTCCTGATTAAAATTACATGAAACATAACGCAATTCAGGACATATCTGTAATAACTTATTAAAAACAGCGACATAAGCGGAAAATAAATAATCAAATCATTGTAAAACGTGAACAATTGAATTTTCTTTCAATCAAAATTCGAAATACATGCTTTAACATTTGATTCTCTGAAATTGCAATTGAAAATTTGAAACTAACAAAATGAAGAAGAGTTGTAATTCATCGCTGCTGTGTGAAATAACGAAGTCAACAATATAGGATTCAATATCAGCGGACTGTAACATTTTACCTGGTTTCGTATAAAATTTGAATGCAATATTCCGTGTCCCCATAATAGTTCAGAAATTGAATCCCTTCGAATCCGCGATAACTTCGAAAACGACCAGGCGCGTCCTTTTATTTGGCCAACTGCATAAAACAGATTTCACCGAACGCAACTTCCATTTTATCGACTTTGAGCAGCATTTATGGCATTGCCCCGGGTCACTCGACAATTTCACTTCACTCTATGTCGCTTATTCCTATGCCGTTTCACAATCGTGAAAAGTTCAATGGCTGAATGTAAATTAGAAGTCGATACAATATTTATTAAACGAAGAATTTATATACAAAATTCTCCTTTGTTTACGCTTCTCGTTCGCTCTTTATACGATCCGCATCTCGTTTTACTCGCCGTGAATTATTGCTTGTTTAATCATAAATTCAATTTAATTGCGAATCGTACGATCTGATCGAGTTTCACGATTCGTTGAAACGACGTTAGTTGCAGTTAACGAAGAACTGCAATAAATAATTATTGTTGGTTGAAAGCTGCGTGAAGCATAAATATTTTTTTATCTGTGTTCCTAAAAGCTTTTTCGACAAACAGTCGGTTTTTACGCGTTATTTATAACAAGTTCATGAAAACGATTCACAACCGCAGCTGAAAGGTAAAATTTTATAAACCGACCGCTCGTAAAAGTGCAGGTACGTTTTAATCCCTCGATTCGAACTCTGTTAGTGAAATTTCATTTTCAATCGGATTTAAAAAAAAAAACTTAAGTGATACATTTTTGAGTAGTCATCACCTTTTCGATTAATAGTAAATTTTCGATTAACGCAAAATAATCACGAAAACTGGGCTGCAATCTTTAAAACGTTGTCAGGATAGGTCCCGTGACCACCGTAGAATATCACGTAATATTTATGCATATTACAGTTAATTACAGGTGTTCGTGACGAAAAAAGTGAACGAAATATCAGAGAACGTAGGTTTTACGAGGCTGCAGCGTGATTATAACGATCTTAAGTACAATGCACAACGGCGCCTGATAAGATAAAGAAAAGTTATCGCGACGAATAAACTGTTTTCGTGTAAATATAGCTACTTCTGGGCGTAAACTGAAAAGTTTATTGGTAATTTGATAAACCAAATTGTTAAAAAGAGACTTTCACGAGAGTAGTCTTGGAAACGGGAAGATATTTCTATTTAAACGACTTCAGAGTTTACAACTTCATATTTAAATATGATATTAAAAATGAGGCATTTTTAATCGATATGCAATTTACTTTTATACTTGTGTAGTTTCTAGGTTAATTTATTTATTAATTCGGATATTTGATGTTCTGGTCAGAAAAAATTTAATTCCTGGAGAATATTGGTAATTTCGTTATGTATTCGAATATTTAGCTCCGTAATAAGGATTTCGATAAATGATAATAAATATTTTTGTTAGTGTCATTAATTATAAAATTTACAATTTATTTACATTTAATAATAACTTTTAAATTATATTACTTCATACAGCATATTTACAACAAACTGCAGTAAATTAGTTAAATTATTAATAAATAATTTACAGAGTTTAACTATTTTAATAATTTACCAGCTGATTCGACTTAGATTTATGACGAGAAATTAAGTTTCAAATTATTTTGTTGATTTAAAGAAAATTCTTAAAGTTTCAAATAATTAATTAACCTATCAGTAAATAGTACAATTAAAAATTGTTTAATGTAATTAAATATTATTTACAGTGAAGTTTAACTATTTTAATAATATATCAGTTAATTCTAAGTAAGTTTATAATGAAAGTTTGAGTTTCAAATTATTTTCTAGTTTAAATAAAATTCTTATAGTTTCAGATTATTTTTCTGTTTAAATAAAATTCTTGAAGTTTCAAATACTGTCAAAAGTATATTTATTTCACGTTCTATTGTTAAAATCATGTTGTTCGCGTTTAGTACTATAGCAACTGGGCACTATAACGCAGAAGCTCTCTAAGCTTCAGGAGCTTAGCTCGAACAGTACTAATCTAAACAGATACGAGTGCTGACGGTCACTTTATGGCTATTAATTATTTAAAGCACACACTGCTAATCGTCGAATGCCGTGGACGAGGAGTTCTAATTAATCGGTTGCATAATCGTTGACGCAAACATGTGAACGGTACTTCTGACGTGCACAGACTATCAGTACTTTTTGTAAAAATATCATATTTTTGGAAAAATTATAATTTAACACTAGATTTACGGAGCCCGTCAAAATGACGGATAATAGGTCTATTGTAGATGACAGAATTTGTTAAGAAATTTTCGTAAAAATGTCAACTTTCATCAACTTTCAGCAAAAGAATCAATGTTTTAGGCAGTTCACATCTACAATTTATTTATTTTTCTACTTTAGGTAAATTTAAATAAAAGTGACTATCAAACGTCCGTAAATCTAGTGTTAATCATGAAAATCTTCATTCTAATGTACTTGTAGAGATCAGCATTGTAACACATTGTAATGCTATTTAAGAGTCGAACTCTACAGAAAAGCAGTTCGGTCTAACAGGTTAATAGCAAAAATTGCGATATTAAAGTAATTGTAAAACAACATATTCGAAAGCTCGCGGTGTTTGAGTGTACGTACCGGTGTTTCAGGAGAAAGCTTAGCCGAACTGCATCACGGATCGGCAGATGGCATCTGGACGAGCAGCATCAGCAGATCTCTGCTTCTTCTTCTACCCGTTCTTGGTCGGATGCAACAGATGCTCAGATGAAGGCCCGTTGTGTCCCGGATAGTCGCGAAACGAGCACCGTGGCGCTACCGTCGCGACGTCGGACATCGTCGTGACATTGCAACACAATACGGACTTTTATATTATCGCTGTAAAAACGGACGTAACGGTGTGGACGCGTGAACACCGAAAATAAAGCATGCGAATGAGCGAACGGATGGAGCTGGAAGGAAGAAGACAGAAAGGAAAAACCGTGGGGTTGCAAGAGGGTGGGTCGCAGGGAAAAGGTTGGCAGCACTGATCCTCCATTGTTCTTGGTTGCTGATTGAAAACTCTTTCTGCGTCGCGACACCGGGTGCCATTTCAATGGCGATTCTTCGTATCACTCAATTTCGTCGACTTCGTTTTTCTTCCAAGAAATTTTTATTATGTGAACGCGGGAATTTCGAGCAATAAATAAAATTCACTCCGCGTTTGTCCTTCTGTGTCACGAATTTTAAATTCGTTTCACCGAAGAAAAATTTCGAGCAATAAGTCTGTGTTTCGTTGTTGAGAAACTTCTTTGTTCGTTTTTTATAGTCTCTGAGAATTAGCAATAAATAATTGTTAAGGAAGTTGGTACTAGAAAATGTGTACTGAGTGCTTCGCATATGTTTCATCCCATTTCACCATTTTTAAAATTGAAAACTACTAAAATTATTTAATTTAAATTTTATTTTTGAAAAGAATGTTTCATGCGTTAAAATCAACATACATGAAATGTATGTCAAATTATTGAAGATGCTAAAAAATTGTAAGTCTGCTTTTCTTTAATAAATTAGGTTTTAAATTAAAATTTCTATCGATGGAGTTAAAGAAATTTTTTTTCGAAGTATATTGATTTTTAATTTTTTTCAAGACAAATATGATCAAATATTCGCATACACAAGTTTTAAATTAATAACGGAAAATATCACTATTATTTCAAAGAATGTCAGTATACTATTTGAATAACAGTAACCTGATATTTTCTGTGATTTAAGATGAAAAATTCTGACAGGTAATTCCTTCGTTAAAATTAGCAAGATGATTCGAAATTCAAATGAACCACCCTCCTGCGAGAGAAAACTATTCAAGCCAGAGAATATTTAATTAACGACCATTAAAGGCTCGAGTTATCAGTATTATCGAGTTTTCTAGAGGGCCAGATTGAAACGGAGCGTGAAAGAAACCGGAAGTCATCGTCGAAATCGATGACGACGTTCGATATCGTTCCATCGAACAGCACGCGATAATCGATGGCTGATTAGCTGTTTTAAAGTTTGTGATCCGCAGATAAATTACCGAGATTTATCTCGAAAATCGAAAAAGTGATGCAGGCTTAAGCACGTCGTACTTATGGTTGACCCTTATCACTGAAACGTGAACGTCCTCTTATTTTGTAACATCGACTACTTCCACTTTGAATATCTGCGGTGACGTATTCGTTTATAAAAAGGAATATTTATCTATGAAAAATTGTCATATTTCATTGGTTTTATTTTGTAAAGCTCATAATTAGTTACGTATTAAAATGTTTAAAAATAATAAATATTCACGTCATTCAATATTCAAATGATAAATATTAAGTTTGATAATAAAAAATGAGTTGTGAACTTTTTGCTAAATTAACGATTGTTAAACTTTTTAAAAATAATAATAAATAATTTTATTTCTGAATTAAGTAAATTTCTTTTGTAATAAAAAATGTGACTAAGTTTCGAAATAAAAGATGTGGACTATAAAATTTGAAATGGAAAATTATAAAGTAATTCTTGAGTCTTGTTTGTGACAAGTTTTCAATCTTTCTGGGAAATGATTTTGAAACAAAATAGAAAGCTATTAAATTTAATTGTTAATTAAATAAAAAATGAACGAATACGTAAGTCGCTGTGTATCATTTCTCGAATTGTAACAACGTTACTACTAACGAACTTCAAAATTAAAAATAATGTAAAAATATAAATAAATTATATAAATTCAAGAAAAGAATCTTAACAAATTTTGTAATTTAAAATGAAGAATTTATAAACATCATTTGATCCGACATAGTAACTTTAGTATTCATATTTGTTCTTTTACAAAAATTTATAAATACGTATAAAATTTGTTAACGAGATTAACGTTCTTCATTCGAGAAAATATCTTGAACTCAAAAGAGCTGTATGGTGATGGAAGTTTTTGATACCGATCAAACGTTTGTAAAGCGTGTTTGAGCGATTTGAAGGATTGCGGTGTGAGAATGTATCAATGAAATTATCAACTGCCAACCTGATCCCAAACTCGTCGATTAGCGATACAAGGAGACGTTTTAAGCGGCGGTGTTTTACATAAAGCCATTTTCTTTCGGCGTTCGTTGATCTGTTATTCGAAAGATCAGAAAGTTGGGTGAAATTGAACGTCTGTACCGAAACAGATCGCACAGTAATACTTGAATTCAACATAAATTCAAAGTTTTCTCCGATGACGAGATTTATGAAATATACGATATGCGTTTTACAAGACTTTGTTCACTTTTTTATTTTCCCTCCTTTTTTATTCTTAGGAGAACATCAACACCGGCCATTATAAGTCTTTGAGGTTAGGTAGGTTAAAAACTGTCTCTTTTATGCACAGTATATTCTTTAACACACCTAGTAAAATTAATGTTCCTTTATGTTAAATAATTGAAACAAAGTTTTATCGTTTGTTCACATTAAAAAAAATTCTGTGCAAAATGGTTCTTTAAAATCGTGTGCTTCAAAGAGGCAACTCATGTTTTCATACATAAACGTTGTTAAACAAACGAGTTAATTCGCATTTGCATATTTCAATTTTTTTTAATTCAGAGTAAAAGCTTTCTTTGTCTAAAACAGTGTTTTTGTTTTATTATAAAAATTACTTTTCTTTATATTTGAATTTTTATAATAGTTTTAATATTACATATTAATTTATAATTTGATTTAGGATCATGGTTACTCTTATGAATGTTATTTGCTATTTTCAGATTTACATAATTATAATTATACATTAGGGAATGCACATTTTATTTGCAAAGTATATATTAATATCACAGGTAAGTAATATAAGTAATAAATAACTTAATTAATTTTATTCGAGAACGGTTTAAAGAAATTATTCGATAATTTTCTAAACATTATTTGAAATTTTTATGTAAGTAAAAAAGAAACAAATCTCTTTTATAAATAAAGAAATTATACATTAATGTAAGTAATTAAAGTTTACATAAATGTACAATATAACCGAATGTAATAATATGAATAACTTGAAAACTTATTGACTTATAGATGGAAAATAAAAATCAAGAATAATAAATAAATAATTAAAAACTTTGCATGTGATTAATGAGTAATTGAGATCAAGAATAAATCGTACAATAAATATTTGTAAAATAAGATCTTCATATTCCTGAAGTTCTATGGCACTGGACCCACATTTCGAAGCTAGCAAATCAATATATTTGCGAATTTCTACGTGCTTCAAGTACTTACGTCACAATGTTCCTAAATCCGCAAATTTCAAAGTCTTGAAATACAAGGTGCGATCATTAAGTTCCGGGACTTGTCCCGTATATGCAGATAAAATCACGTGTTTCAAATTTGGCTACTAACCCCTTCAAAGTAGTCCCCTTGTGCAGCTATGCACCGATCCCAGAGCCTCTGCCATTTTTGGAAAGCTTCCTAGAAGTCTTCTTGTTGAAGCGTGTCAAGCATCTGCTGCGATTCGCGTTGAATCTCGTCCACCGTGTCAAATCGGCGACCCTTGAGCTTTAATTTCGTTTTGGGAAACAAAAAGAAATAACAGGGTTCTGATGAATACGGAGGGTGAGGAAGTACGACAATTTTCCATGTTTCTTTTTTTTTTAATGTCCCTCTGTTCCAATTTGGAGTCCATCGTGATTTCGCAAAGGGAAGCGTGCGTATGCTACCATAAACTTGTATAACACAGGATTCAATGAAGATATCGCTTCCAAACTTCGTGTCATATGTCTCGAAGATTGTTATTCTTATGTTCTGCGAGCGCATGTCAATCGTGTCATTCGTTTGGTCACAGCAGACACAATCCCGGAACTTAATGATCGCACCTTGTACTTATATTCACAAATATCAGAATCTTCAAATACCTATGTTCTCAAATTTCTACATCTCCAAATTCCTATTTTCCAAAATTTCTACATTCCCAAATTTCTACATTTTCAAATTTCTATATCCCCAAATCGGTACATCCTCAAATTTCTACATTCCCAATTTTTACATCGCCAAATTTCTATGTCCCCAAATTCCCATATTCCCAAATTGATACATCCCCAAATTTCTATATTGTCTTATACCTACGTCCCCAAATTTCTACATCCCTTTATTCCTATGTCCCAAAATTTCTACATCCTCAAATCCGTAAATATCTAAATTCCTGTGTCCCTAAATTCGAAGATCTTCAAACTCCTATATTTCTAAATTTCATGATCCCCAAAATTTCAAAACCCCCAAAATTCCTATAAAATTATCACCCATCCCTAAATTGCCATATTCATGTATCACCAAATTCTCAACCCACCCTCAAATTTTCACCTTCCCAAAAATTCCTAAAATCGAACAAACGCTCTTCTTCCGATGTCCCGATCACCATGTTTTCCCTAGAGAAGTCATATTTCCCCGACTCTACTAACTCACCGGAATCCATCGTCCCGAAGTTACACGCGTTCCACACGAGATTGCCTCTTTCCCATCGGAAACGTCCACTTCTCCTGGTCGCCTGGACAAACTGGACTCCACAACGTACGACGTCCAGCTTGAATCCATCCAGCCGGAGATTGAAGTTGCAAAAGGACACCGCGCAAACTATCCACTAGCAGCCTGCTCTCGTTCCGGTTATATATAAGAGAAGTCCCATGGAATGTGGGAGCAAAGCAGTAACTCGACGATCCGACAGATTGGACGTCGCTTCATCGATCCTCCTTCATTTTCAACCGACTCTATTCGCCGACGGACAAGGAGCGTTTACGAATCATATACGGGGTGTTTTCGAAATGGATGTATAATCAAAAAATGGGAGAATGAACGTGGAAAAATAAGTAAAATGTGTGGAATATAATTTTTGAGGAAATTGAATTTGGACATTTTTTAACCACTTCACGTGACATTTATTTTTAACCCCTTGGCTACTGTGGACGCCTATAGGCGCTTAGAAATTTTGTGTTTGTATTACTGAGAGCACCTATAGGCGCCCATTTTTATACCAACAGAGTTTTTTCCTAGCGATTAAAAAGTTTTTATAAAAAAGAGTTATGACGGCGTGTTATAACATTTGTCATTTGTATTATCCTTTGTACATAAAGGAAGGATAAAAAACTGTATAGAAAGGCTTTAGCTTTGCTTTTTATAAATAAGAAAGGATTAAGGAAGTCGAATTTGATCATTTTTTAACTCCTTCCTGTGTCATTTATTTGTCACATGAGTCAAGACTAACTATTCAGGGATATAATATTAAAACGAACAAAGAAAATTAAAATGTAACTACTTTATATTCAGGGATCCTTGATAACGTAATATATAGTTGGACCTAAATTTCAAGTTGAAAAGTAGTCAAGATTTGAGTAAGGTTTGTTACATTTAAGATGAAAGTGCGTCACGAGTGAGATTCGTCAAAGAACGGCAATGTCATTAAACAAATCTAAACATTAATAATTTCTCCAACTAACCAAAAATTCATCATTTTCTGATCCGTAAATAAATTTTTTTTACAAATACATAAATACTGTATAAATGCTCTTCGAACCCA